CTTTGGAACGGTCCCAGGAAGAGATGAGAAGCCATTTAGGAGACACGCTGCAGATCCAGGAGAGAGATGATGGTGGTAGAAACTAGAGCAGTAGTGGAAATTGGACAGACCTATAGAGGGTTGAGAGATTTCAGAGGCAGAATTGTCAGAACTTGATTCTCTGGACATGGGGAGTGTGGGAGCAGAAGGCTGGAAGGACAGCCTTGGCTTCTGAGTTGGTCTCTCAGTCCACCAGCACAGGCCCAGAGAGTGTGTCCCATAACTCTCCACAGAGAAAGCCTTAAAAACTAGCACAGTATTTTTCAGACAATTGGATGGCTGTTTGTCAAAATCATCATGGGCGGCTTTCTGATGGAAAACCATTTTAGAGGCTTTGCAAGCCAGAAAATGTGTCCAGAGGCTGATGACAGCTTTCTTTTAGGAATATCATCTTCTGACTTTTCCCACCCAATTTATTACTTACATGGCTGTATTACAGAAATGAGAACAAGCACAGACAGGATACATCTGACTATGAAAGGTACCAGTCTTAGAAGACAGGAGTGATCCTGTGAATCATTTCTTGCCTCTTGGAAACAAAGGCAGTGAAAAATCTCAAATGAAATGGTTTTCGTAACAGCCTCGTCAGTGCATTCCACAGCAAGCACACTCTAACTGCAAGGAATGAATTTTTCAATGGCAGTACCCACAGTTATGTTTTCTCTGCTAATTCCTTTTTATAAACTGCAATGTTATTGTGTTCTGCCTAATAAATTAGTTTGGACAACAGCACCATAAACCTCAAAACAGAAAATATTTGATCAAAAGCAAGATATATCAAGAAGGATATATATTACTATATAAAATATTAATAGAGCTGGAACTGTCAGAGATAAAAGATTCAGCTTTCAATGAGGTAAAATGTCTCACCATCTGGGCATAAATATTCCCAAGTATTGATTCATCATATAGTCTTTTCAAAAATCTTAAAAGATGGAACAGATGCTCCTACAGGTCAGGGAGCCATATTACAGATTTGGCACCAATTTATTCTTTCCTTCTCCATTTACAGTAGGAGAGGTGAGAGGCGAAAGATGGTAGAAGAAGGTCAGTTCTATCATCATCAGTGGACACACAGGGACAAAAAAAATCAAGCTGGACTCCAGAGGAAGCAAGGAAACTGAGCGGCTCAATCTGGCCATCCTGGACAAAACAGCCTAATATGAATGGGAGGCAGAAATAACAACTTGGGGAATGATTTTGTAGAAGGTCTCCCTTTATCAAGGAAGACGTTTAACCACAGATGTGGTTATAAACAATGTTTGCCAAAAAGATGTTATTTTTACAAGATAAATAAGAAACAATCATTTCCAACTAGTTTTAAAAGAGAATGCCAAATAGAAGATACATGGGATTTGATCATCTCACATTTTGGCAGCAAGAAACATAAGCTTTTTCAGAACTACACATCACACTTTTAGCACCTATAGATTCTGCCTCAATGGAATTCCTCTACATGGTAAACATGCTTCTCCTTATGCAGCAAAATCCACCCTGAGGCCAACACCATTTTCCTAAAGTCTAGTTCCTTTCAATAAGGCACTAAATCTTTTTACTGCAACCACCAAATGCTTTCTTATTGCTAGAAATGGTATAACACACTAACTTTTTGATATATGCTCCAGCTTTTCAAGGTTCTGTTGGAAACAAAATGATCCTTTATGACATTTTATAATAATCCACCCTGTTTACTGCTTTCCAGAATTTCTATCATTAATTAAAGGGCTGTCTCTCACCACCCCCTCAAAAACTAATCTAGTCCCCAACTGTCTGTCATGGACTAAATGAAAGTCGGTCTATCACAGCAGCAGTGATGGTCATGCCAATTTCACAGTGTGATTTGTGCACTCATTTCATTTTGAAAACGACCCTGCCCTCCATCTGTCTAAGCTGAATGTCCTGCTTTTTTTAAGCCAGGTCTTGGGAGCAGCAGCACATGAAATAAGGAGGAAGACACAGAACAGCCTCTCTCCTGCCCACTTCAGCTGCTACACTCATAGACAGGTCCCAGCACAAGGAGGGGAACCTCCACTGATGCCTGTAGGGACCAGAGGCATTTCAGGGAGAGCACAGAGTCCTTCTATTTTGCATACATCCCCAAGAAGCTATTTGAAGGTGAATGCTTTCATGACACAAATATAACTCTGAAAATCAGCCTGACAGACTAAAGACATAAAAGGCAATTTCCAGTGTTAATGCTCTGTCATTTATCTTGATTTATAACAACTTACCCAAGGTAACATCTCAATATATAAGGATTTAAAATGCATAAAAATTGTTTAAGGATTGAGCCTTTTGGGTAATTTTTTTCCCCAAGAGATGTGTCAATCAGACAAGCACAGAGGGGAAGATACCCTATTCCCTGATTATTGAGCAGCACTAGGCAGCATCGCTCAAACCATGTACCTCCTTGGGTTGAAGACCAGAAAGGGCTGCAGTCAGAGACTGGGTTGGAAGAAGCCTCAGAGTAGGGTTACAGCAGTCTTCCTCAGCTGCTTTCTCTGGGAATCTTGGGTGGTCCAGAGTCTCACACAACCCCTTTGGAACTGGTGAAGTTTGTTCCTTTCTTGATATTCACTTAGTGGAAGGTTCCTTGTCCGGTCTCATCCAGAACACAGCTTTGGCAAACTTCTCAGGAAGAGAGAAGAATGTATGAGTACATGAAGTCAGTCACTTGACAGTTTAGCATTTAAATACCCTACTGAAGTCACTTTTTAGCTGTAAAAGGTGACTAGGGACTATACCACATCTCACTACTTCCTAACATCTACTCACAACTATTACTCAGGGAAAGAAGTTCAAATTCTACTACCCCAAACCAAGGTGGCTGTTTTAACAGGAAAATAACAACCAAAAAAAAAAAATGGATGGAGAGTATAGCCCAGTGGTAGAGTACATGCCTAACATGCATAAGGTCCTGGGTTCAACCCCCAGTACCACCATTAAAAAAATTTTTTTAATTAGTATTCCATCAAAGCTGGGCCCTTACGTGATACATAGATTGAATTAATTCATCCGTCTCTATTTCCTAATGAACTTAGCTTTGGGATATCATGGTTTGGCTACTTCTTTTTTCCATCCGTAATATGCAGAATAAGGTGATTATTAAGATGAAACATAATATACAGGAATAGTCTAATAGAGTGCCATGCAATAAATACGGTTGATGTTGGCTCCAAAATGTATACGTAGAAAATATTTATATGCAGCAATACTATTCAGGAGGCAGATAACGTTTGTGCATGGAAGTCTCTAATTATATAGCAAAGACATGCTTTTACTTGAACTGTTTATCTTGGGTGATAGCAAGACCAATGGAAATCACAGACTATGAAAGAATCCCCTCATCCCAGGCCACCAGGAGAGGCACTGTGTATGGCAGATATTCATAAATTACAGCGAATTTTATTATCTTGAAAACTGCACATTTACTACTACCTCACTGGGATAAACCAGTTTTGTCTTTTGCTACCTTCTCTACTTCTTGACTGAAAAATTGTATTCATCTCCCCCAAATTCTACAGTCTCCAGGTCAGCCTAAACTATTGGTATGTTTTTTATTAGTGACCCAATATAATTTTATAAATAATTAAGTTCCTAGTTTCTCACTGCACCATAATAGGCACTATTAAATTGAAAAGAATTTATACAAAAATAGCCCCAAGGTAGTAACACGGAATCTAGAGCATCTATTCCAAATACGTAACAAAGGAACAAAAGAAAATCCAGAATAGTTTCTTGTACAGTCCAGCGAATCTCCATAGAGATCTTCAAACTAAGAATTTGAGGGGCAAAAATTAAACTCTAGGAAATTTTTTTCTTTTTCTTTTTTTTTTTAACTGAAGGAAAAGCACTGTTTATCAGCATAATGATATCCAAAAACATTACTAGAGCCTGGTAAGTACAGGTTGGGTCTCTTTCTGTCTCACTCACACACACCCACCCAGACTGACGACTTAAACAGGTTTGCACAGTTACAAGTGTAGCAGTGCATAGAAAAAAGGAACACTTTGGGCCGAGCTTCCTCTCCCGCCCCACCCTTCTTGGAAAACACGAGGTCATAGATTTTCCAATGTTTCTACCTCCTAGTGACATCTGGAGGCTCAAGAGCCAAATTTAAACGCTAAAATGTGCTCAGTAATATTTGTTGCTATGGAAAAAGCGGGGCTGGGCAGAGGGGCTTGGAACGAAAGCCAGTCCTCTCCAAGTATCAGATAAAAACCAAAGCATTTTTTCCTGTTGCCAACCTCTGGAAATGGCAATATAAGAAGTCCTAGACGCTGCACTATTTTTGTTCCTACAAAATGTGCCCTCGGGGCAGCCCAAAGACAAAAGCTCTACTCTAATTTGGGGAGAATACCCAGCTGACATTCCTCTTTTTCCATTTCCGTTTCCTTACTAAAACAACGAGGAACGACACTATTTGTATGCACTGCATAGTTTATAAGGCTCAAAAACGCAAAGGACTTCGGTCTGTAAACCTTCCGCCCTGTGCCAAAGAACGAGGTGGCATAACGGGCAGCCAACAAGGGAAGGCACTGCATTTACCAGACGAAAGGAAGGCTACTATAACCTCACCTCCTCGCGTCCGAGGGTCCGTCCCGAAGAGACTACGCCTCCCAGCATACAGCGCGGCCACGCCCGACGGCGGCGCGATCGGACCGGTGTATGCCGGGCAACAGTTCCCGCCTCTGACGGCCGGCGGGCGTTTCCTCTCCCCTCTGAGTGATGCCGCTCACACTCTGGAGTCTTCAGGGACCAGGCTAATAATAGAGACACTCGCATTAGTGACTCTTTCCAACTAGGTTGGTCCTTCTGCTGCAAAGTAACTGTGGGAGCACGCCACAAAAACGCCATTCTTCACTGGCTTCCGTTTCCGGTTGGCCT